TAACAAAAAAAAAAAAAAAAGCCCAGATCCCAGTACCCTGAGAGAGAGACCCTCTAGAAGAGGGGGACTAAAAGCCAGGAAACAGCCTGAGTTAGTAAGCGTGGCTCTTAGAAATGTACTTTTTAAGGTGTCTTGGTCCTTGTTAATCTCCTAGGAACACACACATTGTGCCTAAAGTTTTACATTTAAAGTTACAGTTTGCCAAGGACATCTACTTCTGACTCACAGAGAAGGCCCTTTCTCACTGGGAGGAATGAATGGGTTTTCTATTAAAGATTTACTTTTATCTTACGCTGTTTTTGGTCAGTGTTAGGGCATTGTCTTGCGACTGCTTTGTACACACAGGGCTAGACTGCTTTCACGGGGAGTATCTGATCAGCCCCAGATCTTGGTTGCACAGAGTAACAATGTCTGTCTCACTCTGTACTGCAGGCTGAGCAAAGCCCTGCGGGGAAGCTGAAGATGAAGACTTCTGGGACAGCAGATGCTTCTCCTACAGTGTCTTCTCCTACAGTGCAGGATTAGATCCCAGAACCAGCCGTGCTGTGCACTGGGGAGATGTCACCTACCTGCTTCCTCCTGGGTAGAGGTTACGGGGGAGGCGTTCTGAAGGGTGTATTGTCTCCCTCGATCTGCCCAGCTGTCTGGCAGAGAGGGCATCTTCCCATCTCAGAGGCCAGAAAAGGATGCCCAAAAGGGGGACGCAGAGGGCGTGGTCAGAGGATCGCCTGGGACTGGGCTGCCCAAAGACCTAGCTGTTACTCGCTGTATTGCATCAGTTACACTCAGTTAATCTAGATGAAGATACAGGGCTTAAGGAGCAAAAATGATATAGTTCAGAGGACACATTTTGTTGCTTTTCACCAGAAAGTTTTCTTTTTGGGAAAGGGTGGGCTCGGAAAATATGAACATAAATTAACCAATAAACCATACTCGTTTCTTGTCAATTTAATTGGTTTTTAAAAAATCTATTCCGGCACATCTGACTCAGTGCCAGGTGTTAATTTAGTGTGGAGTACACAGGAGGAGCAGTCGCTGCCTCTTACAACCATTTGGCTCAAACAGGAGAACTGAGAATCCTCACAATTCAGTTTCCATTAGGTGTGCTTGAAAATTCAAGAGTCTCCGAGAAACCCTGGCATTTGAATATTCCGCAAAAGTGAAGACACGCCCACACATTTTCAATTACAAAGAGTCACGCTGGAAAATATATCACAGTGACATGTGACATTTGGGTGGCCTGCAGTTGAAATTGGCCTCATAATGAAACCTTATCCCCACCAGGATGGATTCTTGCACAGTATATCTCAAATCATTAGACGAGCTAATTTTGTTCACTCACTTTCCTCCTCCTACTAATTCAATCAACAAAAGTTAATCAGGCACCTGTCACGGGCAAGGAACTCTATCTCTTAGATACAGGAGAAAGGAAGGTAGATTAAGCACTGCTCTCTTTATGAAGCTCATAATTTAGTGACAGGGGACTATGATGGGAGAAAAAAATGGGAGAATTTAATGTACTAGGCTGCTTTATCCATCCTGTCATTAAGTTCTTAAAATAACCCTGCAAGATAAGTATATAAAAGATTCCCAGTTCACTGTCAACAATGGGCTCTTTTAAAGAGAGAATGGAACCACACCTATTTGGCTGGTAGGAGTAAGGTGCTAAGGGGACAGATTCTTGTCAGAGTTGTGATGCCAAGGAGCGGTCCCCTGAAACTGTACTGTCCAAGTTCAGGAGATTACGGAAGCCAAAGACGGAGAGGCCAGGCACGAGCAAATGCTCAGAATAAGATGATGTGAGGCAGCTAAGGGTCCAGGTGCAGTGACGACGGGGCGACAGGAGACCATAAGGGGTTGTAGGGACAGTGAGCCCAGCCATGAGGCCTAGGCTGACCTCTAGGGGGAGCCCCTCAGGAGGCCCCTCAGGGGCACGTCCTTGAGACTCCAAGGTTTGTTGGAGAGCACTGTGTACAGTGGAACCGATGGGGAAGAAACCAGGGATCAACCTCTCAACCCTCAGTCTTGGCCCCGCCTTTAAGGGTTACGGGTTCCTTGAAGAGCGAAACACAAAATCATCCGATGACGCAGCAATTCTGCTCTTGGGTATGTGCCCCAAAGAACCGAAAGCAGGAACTCAAACAAGTACATGGACACACACGTTCTCAGCAGCACCACTCACAATGGCCCAGAGGTGGGCAGTCCAAATGCCCATCCGTGGAGGGGTGGGTACGTACATAAAGCCAGCATCGTTCAGCCCCAGAGGGTAAAGGGCCAAGACATGCTGCACTGTGCAAGCACCACGTTCATCATGCTGAGAGAAAGAGTCTGGACATCACTGCCACATGTCAATTCAAGAATAGGTAAATCCAAAGAGGGAGCTGGAGGAAGAAGGAGAAGAGGAGGAGGAGGAGGGGGAGGAGGGAGCAGGAGGAGGAGGAGGAGGGAGAGAGGGAGGGAGGGGAAGAGAGAGCGAGCGAGATTATAGGTTGGCAGCCGCTACCGCTAGAGGAAAGTGAATAGCAAGTGACAATTTAATGGGTGCAGGGTCTCTGTTTGGGGTGATGGAACAGTTCCAGAACTACCTAGTGGTGATGGCTGCAAAGATTGTGACCCTACTAAAGGGCGCTGAATCACTCTCTTACATGTGTTAATGGTTAACTTCGCTATATTTACTCCAGGAAAAAATACAAATAATAAAGGGATTTATGGAGTTAGCCCCTGCTTTACAGATGAAGGGAGAGAGGTGACTGGAAAGGGCCTACAGAGTAAGGACACCTGTGGTCGTACGAGTCTGTGACCTTGGGCCCGTCTACCACTGCCTTTGTTTGCCTCAGAAACCAAAGACACACACCTTTCCCGGGCTCAGCTTCCTAGCGAGGGAGCGGTGGGTGCTGGGCCAGACTGCTTTGCAGGCTCTTCTCGCTCTGAGAAGCACCTGCCATGTGCTGAGAGCAGGCGGCACGTTGCTCCCAACGCCTGCTACTCTCCAGTGGTGACATTCGTGTCTCCCGTTTCTGTGCACAGCCCTCCGTCACTCACTGCGCCTTGGGTCTGTACATCTGCGAAAAGGGGTGTGGGTGGCCAGCAGGATATGGAGCTTGGAGGGCTGCTTTTAGAGTACTGTGACCAAGAAAAGCCTGGAGAAACCCCAAAATCTGAAAGCAAAGCAGGCTGGTGCAGACACTCTTGACCTGTGAGACCCTAGCTCCTTCCAAACCTCAGTTTAACACAGGACCTCTCCCTGCAACTTGCCTTCACATTTTTCTTGAAATCAATTTCCTTTTTAAACACAACACTCTTTTCCTATAACCCTTCCTAACCGCTACCCCCTACCCTCTTTTATCTGCTGCAATAAGCATGCCCGGGGAAAGACTATGATTCAGCCAAGTGCACCAAACTGGGGGGGGTCATGGATTTAGCTCAGAGGTTCCGCTGCCTGCCTTGCAAGCGCAAGGATCTGAGTTTGATCCCCGGTACCCAAAAGACAAAAAACAAAACAAAACAAAACAAAAAACCCAAACTGGGGATTCAGTTGAAAATGGGACACTGCTGACCACCCACAGACCTGGCTCACGGGGCACTACCAGATCTGACACAGGCGTTAAAGGCAGGCTGGCCTCAGCCGGCGACTTTTTCCTTGGTGTAACCAGAACTGAAAGAAGAATCAAAATCAATTAATACTTTAAACAGGGCCAGGGATTTAGCTCAGTGGCGCTGTGCCAGCCTCTCAAGCTCAAGGTCTTGAGGTCCATCCCCCAATGCAAAAAACAAAGCAAAAACAACAACAACAACAACAAACCCCAAAAC